AGGGGAGAAACCATTCAAGTGTCCAGATTGTGGGAAGTGTTTCACACAAAATTCCTCTCTTATTGTACACAAGAAATTCCATATGAAGCAAAATTTGATGTGTGCAGAGGAATCTTGAATTTCATTTCTCTTCTGACTTTGGAAGCCCAGTTGAGAAATTAACCATTTAATTTCTTGTTTTATTCTTTTTAGTCAAACATGTCTTGATATCAAACATGAGGGAGGAGATCTGAGCTTGCTTTCTCTGGAGTTGTGTGGTTGTTCCTCTTCACAGCATCGAGGGGAATTGCCCTGCTGGGTCAGAGAAAAGGCGCTTAGATCTCTGTTAGGTATGTTTGCCACCTTGAGTTATTTCTACATCTAATTAAGGTGGGGCATAGATGTGTATGTATATGTGTATGTATTTTTATTAAGAAATTGTGTATGGAGCCCAATACAATGTGACTCCAGAGAGCTTACAGCAATAAAATACAGAAAGCAATCAACATATATAGCAAATAGCAAAATTCAACGTTTTTCATGTTAGGTGTCCATTTTAGGTCATGTGATATAGTAGAACCTAACATTTCAAGGTCTCTACTGTTGATACGGTGTTCTCTAGTATTGTAAGAGGTGATAGTATGGGAGGGTTTCTTCTAAAGTCTACCACCATTTGTATGGTTTTGAGTGTGTTCAGTTCCAGATTGTTCCGGTTACACCATGAGGCAAGTTGTATAACCTCCTGTCTGTATGTGGATTTGTCGTTGTCTCGAATGAGACCAATAACTGTTGTGTCATCAGCAAACTTCAGTATTTGAACAGATGGATCGTTTGAGATGCAGTCATTGGTATATAGGGAGAAGAGAAGTGGAGATAGCACACTGCCTTGAGGGGGCCCCTGTGCTGATTGTACAGGTATCAGATGTGATTCTGCCTAGCTTCACCTGTTGCTTCTTGTCTGTTAGGAAGCTTATGATCCACTTACAAGTGTGTTCAGATACCGCTAGTTGGTTTGATTTACTTAGAAGAGTGTCTGGAATGGTGGTATTGAATGCTGAACTGAAGTCTACAAAGAGGACCCTTGCGTAGGTATTTGGAGATTCAAGGTGTTGTAGGATGTAATGCAGAGCCATGGTAACAGCATCATCTGTCGATCTATTTGCTCGGTATGCAAACTGCATGGGATCTAACAGCGGATCCATGATGGTTTTCAGGTGGGACAGCACAAGCCTTTCAAAGATTTTCATAACTACAGATGTTAGAGCAACTGGTCTGTAGTCATTCAGTTCCTTGGAGGGTTTCTTTGGCACTGGGATGATGGTAGAGCGTTTGAAGCAGGAAGGAACATAGCACATCTCTAGTGATCTATTGAAGATTCGGGTGAAGATGGGGGCCAATTTGTCAGCACAGACTTTTAAGCAAGAAGGAGATATCTTGTCTGGCCCTGGTGCTTTTCCTGGCTTTTGTCTGTGTAATAGATCTTGCACTTCTTTTTCTGTGATCACCAGAGGTGGTGAACCCAATGGATTGGGGCCGGTTGTAGGAGGCTTGGCTGCTGTTAGTGTGTTTGAGATGTGGTTGTGGAGATAGGTGGCTATAGTTTCCTTTCAAACCTGCAGTAAAACACATTCAGGTCATCTGCCAGTTGTTGATTTCCTTCTGCCTGGGAAGGAGGTTTGCTGAAACCAGTGATGTTTTTAAGTTTCCACATGTTTGCTGGTTCATTTTTGAGAACTGATTCCTTAACTTTTCAGAGTAGATTCTTTTTGCTGCTCTGATCTCTCTTGTTAATATGTTTCTGGCCTGGTTATATAGCATTCTGTCACCTTTTCTGTAGGCTTCCTCTTCTTTAAGCAGATATAGCTGCTTAAGTTTAACTGTGAACCAAGATTTATTGTTACTATATATTTGCAGGTTCCTTGTTGGTACACATAAGTCTTCACAGAAGCTGACATATGATGTTACAGTATCTGTGAGCTCATCTAAGTTTGCAGAGGCATCTTCGAAAACATTCCAATCAGTGCAATCAAGACAGGCCTGGAGTTTCGGCTTTGCCTCATCTGGCCAAGTCTTCGCTGATTTAATTGTTGGTTTCATGGTTTTAAGTCTTTGTCTGTAGGCAGGTACAAGGTGAATCAGGCAGTGGTCAGAGTGTCGCACAGATGCTCGTGGTAAAGATCTATAAGCATCTTTTACTGTTGTGTAGCAGTGGTCTAAAGTATTTTTGCCTCTGGTGGGACAACTTACATGCTGGAAATATTTTGGGAGCTCTTTCCCTAAATTTGCTTGATTGGAATCTCTTAAAATGATGGGAAGGGAACCTGGGTGTTTGACTTCAGCCTTCATAATTTGATCAGCAAGAGTTCGTAATGCCTTGTTTACACAGGATTGTGGAGGAACATACACAGCTATTAGGAGAAATGAGGAGAACTCGCGTGGAGAATAAAATGGCTTGCAGTTGATATGTAAAGACTCTTAAGTTTTCATCAGAGAACTTATATATTATAGTTATATCCTGAGACCAATAGTTGTTGATATATAAACATAATCCTCCACCCTTTGTTTTGCCTGATGTCTCTTCAATTCTGTCTGATCTACATGTCTGAAATCTTGGGATGTATATGGTGTTGTCCCCATGAATTTGTGGATTAAGCCAGGTTTCAGTAAAACAAAGAACAGCTGAATTGTAAAAATCAGAATTCCATCTATTTAAGAGATGAATTTCATCCATCTTGTTAGCAAGTGAGTGTAAATTAGTCAGAAAGGGAGAGGAGTTTTTTTCCCCCCCATTCCTTAAACTGAACTTGAATCTTGAAAATTGAACTTGGATCTTGTTACTTTTCCATATTCCAAATGAATCATAAGTAATATTAGAGACTAAAATAGAGTTTTGATGTTGTTTTTTTGTGCTAATATATGGGGAGGGGTTTTTTTGCTTTCATATGTGCTGCAGCCATTTTTTCAATAATCTTTAAATAATCAATTTATATTACTTTTACACACACATAGAGAGAGAGGATGCCAAAAAGAGCACTCTGGACAACAGAGAATGAGAAGCAGCATTAAAGTGCAAAATAAGCCATTATACAAAATATTTTCCAATTCCTTTGGAAAGTTTAAAAACTATTCTTTCCTCAGCAGATGAGAGACGAGGGAAAGAATAACAAGAATAAAGTTTTGAGCTGGAAAAAATAGAGCACACAGAACTGAAAAAACCATTAAATGATAAATCAAGGAGGATAATATTTAAATAAAGAAAAAGTGAGGAACAATTTGAAGTTAGTAGGAAGAAAAAGGTTCCATGTATAGCCAGAATTAGCAGGCATTAATTAAAGCCTTTGAGGAAGGAAAGAATGGCTTGAACCAAACAAACATCAGATGAGAGATCAGAATTTCAACCTGATGATATACCAGAGGATTCACACTGGGGAAAAACCATATCAGTGTCTGGATTGTTAAACCTCTCCATTTAACATGTACTTGCCAGTGGTGGGGTTCTACCGGTTCGGCCCGGTTCACATGAACCGGTAGTAAAAAATGGTACCTTTTGGCTGAACCGGTATTTTTTTTTCCTCCCAAGGATCAGCTGTGCCGGGATCCCTCTTGCTGTGTAATGCTTCATCCAGGAGGCTTCCCTGAGGCCCAGGAAGCCAAAAAAACAGAGCGCAGAGGGGTGCTGCTGCACACACACACACACACACACACACACACAAAGAAGCCACGACGCCCACCCAGTCACATAGCCACCTAGCCACTCCCACCTAGCTATGCTCACAGAACCAGTAGTAAAAACTATTTGCATCCCACCCCTGGTACTTGCTGTGCAAATGTAGCACACTTCTATCAAGGTTGGTGGCGATTGGATGGTCTGGGAATTCCAAAAAGGTGATACTTGCTTTTGTTCCAATCAGAAGTTAACCAGGCCTCCTGGCCTTACTAACTACATTCATGTTTGGTGCTATTATCTTCTCCAAACGGGTAATCTTTCTCCTTGGAAAGAGTTGAATTAGAGAAGTTAATGACAGGATGAGCGGGAAATAAATTTTTTAATTAAATTCGTAGAGTGCTTCAAGGAACCTGTACAAGGACAGCCAAAGCGCGACCATTTTTTTGGATTCATCTTTTTCCTCTAATTGATTTAAAATATTTATGTTGGCATTCATTTTATAACAAACTGGCTGACTCCCAATCAATAAATAAAAACCATATTAAAACTAAATGCGTAAAAACAGAAACGGTATTTCAATTCAAGCTTCTGATACGCAGTCCTCTCTTCTTATTAACCCAGTGCTTAGTGGAAAAGCTAGATCTTCTTTGCTTTTTGGAAGACCAGGAGGATTAAGGCCTGCAAGGGAAAGAGTGTTTCATAGGGAAGAGTTTGCAATGGAAAAGACTCACTTCCTAGCTCCTATCAGATGGCAGTATTTAAGGGGAGGGTCTAGGAACGTAGCCACCTTATCTGACCTGGTAAAATAAATGGATGCAAGAATAATAAAGGTGGGAGAATAGTGACAAGTGCCCTGGTGGCTCAGTGGTTAGAATGCAGTATTGCCGGCTGACTCGGCCCACAGCCTGGAGTTTGTTCCTGACGGGGCTTGAAGTTGACTCTGTCTTCCATAACAGATAATCAGAGTTGGAAGGGACTTTATAGGTCATCTAGTCCAATCTCCCGCCCAAGCGGGAGACCCTACACCATTTCTGACAAATGGCAGTCCAATCTCTTTTTGAAGGTCTCAAGTGATGGCGCTCCCACAACTTCTGAGGGCAAAGCTGTTCCATTGGTTGATTGTTCTCACTGTCAGAAAGTTTCTCCTTATTTCCAGGTTAAATCTCTCCTTGTTCAGTTTCCATCCATTATTCCTTGTCTGGCCTTCGAGTGCTTTAGAAAATAGCTTGACCCCTTCCTCCCTGTGGCAGCCCCTCAAATATTGGAAGACTGCTATCATGTCTCCCCTGGTCCTTCACTACACTAGCCATGCCCAGTTCCTGTAACTGTTCTTCATATATTTTAGTCTCCAGTCCCCTAATCATCCTGATTGCTCTTCTGTGCATATTTTTCTAGAGTCTCAACATCTTTTTTATAATGTGGTGATCAAAACTGGATGCAGTACTCTAGGTGTGCTCTTACTAAAGCTTTATAGAGTGGTATTAGTACCTCACATGATCTTGATTGTATCCCTCTGTTAATGCAACTTAGGACTGCATTAGCTTTTTTGGCTGCTGCTGCACACTGCTGACTATTATTTAGCTGGTTGTCCACTAAGACTCCAAGATCCCTCTTACAGTTACTACTATTGAGCCTGGTTTCACCCAGTCTATATGGATACTTTTGGTTTTTTTTGCCTAAGTGTAGGACTTTACTTAAGTGTAGGTGTTCCATCTTTTTGAGATCAGTAAAACGAGGACCCATATTTTGGGCGACAATATTCTGACACTGTAAACTGAGAATGCTCTAAAGCACTGTGGGTGATATATAATTCTAAGAGCTATTGTTATAATAAATAACTGTAAAGGTGATGACCAGCATCTTCAATTGCACCTTAAAGAAATGAATCCAGCGCAGCTCTCGCTACAAAGATGCTACACGGGCAATCTACGGACTCTGATTACTGTGTGGGCTGTTGCATTCTGGACCAGTTGAAGTTTCTAAGGACCCGGGGTAGTAATTCCAACCGAGGTGACCAAGGCATGAGTGAGCCACTTTGCAAGGCCTCCCGGTCTGGGAAAGGGAACTATTGGTGCACCGGATGAATCTGTGCAAAACCTCTTTCCCAGCCATGGCCCCCTCAAGCAGGAGGCATGATTGCAGGAGGACCCCCAGTTGGTGCACTAACTCAAGTCACAAAAGGTGATCACATGACCCCAGGACACTGCAACGGTCATAAACGTGAGTCAATTGCCAAGTGTCCCTATTTTGATCACGTGACTATGGAGATGCTGCAATGGTGGTAAGTGTGAAAAATCTTTTCAGTGCTGTTCAGGGGTGGGATTCTACCAGTTCGCACCTATTCACTAGAACCGGTTAACATTCTAAGCAGTTTGGAGAAGCGGTTGTTAGAAGAAATTACTGGCCTAATCCTGTAAGGAAGGCAGGAAGGAAACATTCTGGTGTTGCTTACAGAAACTGCCTCTCCCTTAACCCTTATTACATTCTTGGAAGGACTAGACTTCCTGTCTCAGGAACTTCTCTGGGGTATTTTTCCTTCCTTTGCTGGTACTTTGCTTGTGTGGACCATTCAAAGTTACAATGGCACTGAAAAAAGTGACTTATGACCATTTTTCACATTTACAACTGTTGCAGCATCCCCACAGTCATGAGAGGCCAGGCGAGGAGATGCGTGCCTCAATGTGAGTGATGTTGAATTGGTCACGCCCAGCCAGTCACATGACCACCAAGCCATGTCCACAACTAAGCCATGTCCACAGAACCGGTTGTTAAAAAATTTGAATCCCAACCCTGGTGCTGTTGTAACTTCAAATGGTCACTAATGAAATGTTATGTCCAAGACTACCTGTGCTTAATCGTGTATCATAGTATGGATGGCTTTTGCTAGTGCAGTGGTGGTTTACCTTTTTGGGCTCATGTGCCAAAACGTGTGTGCATGTTTGCACACTAACACTCACGTGCCAGAACCCAGAAGGCAATGCATGCCCCCCTCCATGTCCCCTATGCACGTGCGTGCAATCCCCCACCCACCCACCCCGCTGGCCCCTTACTTGCACTGCACCTCACAGCTGATTTTCGGCCAGTTTGAGGCCTTTTTCAACCTCCCAAAGGCTTGAGGAAGACTTCTGCAGACTTCTACAAGCTTTGTAGGCCAAAATCTAGCCCCATTTCGTTACTTCCTGTTTTTCCGAAAGAGTGACGAAACGGGGTAGGATTTCAGCCTACACAGCTTGTAGAAGCTTGCAGAAGCCTTCCTCAAGCCTTTGGGAAGCTGAAAAAGGCCTCAAACCGGCCGAAAATCAGCTGTGAGGCGCGCATATGCGCAGTGAGGTAAGTTTGCCTGCAGCTCGCATGCCGGCACAAATGGCAGGTGGCATGCATGCCATATGTTCGCCATCACGGTCTTAGTGGTTTCAGGTAGATGTTAACAAGCAGCAGTGAAAGGCTTGAGCCCCGAGGCACCACAAATTGCAGGGGTCAAGATTCAGTTCCTCTTCTACCCACACGGACTGGAACCGGGCATAGAGGTAGAAGAAGATTGATCATAATAAAGCTCCTCCCATTTCCTGTCTCCAAAGCTTGGACATTGGAGGCTATGGTCATTTTGATTGAAACCTAATGAGGTTTAGGAGGGACATAATGACTGTATGTCTTCTATCCCAACCCCTCCAGAAGTCCATGACAATTGCAACCAATGCTGTTTAGGTAAAGCGCTCTGGTCTGAAGCCAGACTGAGAGGGCCCCGGGTGGCAAAGTCAGAGCTGCAAGCAGAGGGCAAGTTGAAGTCCCAGGCTGCCAACCTTTCATTGCCCTCTTCAGCTGAACTTGTAAGTGACCTTAATTTGCAGCAATGCCTTGAACTGCTCTGCCAGGAAAACCTCTCACGATTTTCTTATGCTTAGCAAACTGCTGTTGAAGGTATAAAGTCTGCTTGAATGCTAACTGTCCAGGAGGGAGGGGAATTACTCTTCCAGCCCTCTCTTGAGCTTGGGAAAGAAATAGGGGTGGTTCTCGGGTTGCAACATCAATTGGCCCCGGAATATTCAAGGATGGGGCACCAAAAAGAAATAGCGGGCTTGATAATTAAATTGGGAAGAGAAAATAAAATCCCAGAAGAGACAAGCTACACTCTTAACAGGTTTGCTGCTGTGCAGAGGCATGTTCTCAGGAGTTATCCTGCACACACACATCCCAAGAGGAAAAAGTGGCTGGAACCAAGGGAGGTGCACTTTCTCTTTTCCTATTTGCATGTCATTTACAATCCGCGCCCCTCACAAAAGAAGCTTTTCTTTAATTTAGTTGCTCCTTCCGGCAAACGAAGCTTTGGGCTCAGCTCCAGCGATTAGGTGTGCCATCTTGCGGGGCTGAAAGAAAAGGTTTGGGACGGATCGTCAAAGAAGAAAAGCTACCGAGGAGCGTCAAATAGGACTTGATGGCACTTAAGGAAGCCCGGAATCAATGGGAACATCTTCAAATGCTTTAAGCTAGAACGAGCGTGTTCTTCCGCCTTTTGTCGCTAGATGGCGCGCTACAGAGCAACAACAGCGGCGACTGAGCTATTCTAGGAAAGGGACAGAAGCTGAGATTGAAGGAGTTGAAACGGTGGAGAGAATTGGATTGCAAGAGAGGAGACGAAAAGACGGGGGGGTTTCCGCTTCCGGCTCAGCCATGGGAGGATAATGGCTTCGGCGGAGCCTCTTGTTGCGCTTGGAGGGTCGAAGCGGCTCCTGGGAGGTGAGTGGAGGGCAGGTCGGAGGAGAAGCCGGGAGCAAGTCGGGCACTTTGGGTTCCTCCACGGCGGGGAAGCAGGGAAGCTGAAACATGTGGGCTGCTGCTGCATATTCATCTCCTCCCCGAATTTTATTCCTCCGGGGCTGCAGGACTTAAAACTCCTGCCTGAGATTTTCTGCTGGGAGATTAAAAAAACCAAAACCATTTATTTCGTATTTCTTAAACACCCATTTTAAGCACCAGCTTCCACGTCCCTCTTGATTGCTTGTGACGGTTGACCTGGCAAGCGAGGAGCTTCATGGGCAAAGCGGAGGATGCTTTGTGTTTCGACTAGGAGTTGGGCACCGTTTCCTCTATTAGCCTCCCCTCCCCTTTCTGAACTTAGATCAAAGAATTGGAGCGAATGCACTTTGGGACATTTTGCACACCGAGATACGCATAGATTGTCTGCATACATTCATAGGTGTGTGTTTCTGTGCTCATATGCGTGCATATAAGTGTATTTCCCCGAGCCAAAAATTTGAGTGTAATATTATAGCACACATCTGATTGAAGATGGAGCTGGACTAGATGACCTCCAATGTCCCTTTCAACTCTATTCTGTTTCACATCTTGCGTCAATATTTGAAATTGAATATTGGTAATCTGTATGCCAAATCAATCATAATATTAGAGGTTCAAATAGAATTTTAGTGTTTGTTTTTTCATGCTAATAGATGAGATGGGTTTTTTTTTTCTGCTGTCACATGTCCTGCAGCCATTTTTCAACAAAAATTAAACTAACCCATTTATATTACTCTTACAGAGAGAGAGGATGCCAAGAAGAGCACACTGGACAACAGAGAATGAGAGCAGCATTATAGTGCAAAATAA